TCTCTCTTTTCTTATTCATTCTCTCTCTTTCTCTTTTTACCTCTTTCTGTTCCCAGTCCCTCTCTTTACAATTTTACTAACAACACATTACATTGATCAAGAATTTTTTCTTTTAGTGGTGGGTGATTTTACATCCCCACCGACACAATTTAGATCATTTTAGGAGACGCACATCAACTCTGTCCGTTAGGACCAACCCGGATGGAGAGGGATACCACATCAGAGGAAGAATATTGAAATTACTCAATATTCTCCCCTAAGAGAAATTGAACTCGGGTCTCCTGCATATGACTGCTGCACCACGGACGCAGGCCAAGATGGTAAAAAACAAAAAAACAACAACAGCTGAGCCTGGGACAGTAGGTATTTTATTATCTTGATTTTTTTTCAGAAGCCGTTGCCTAATATCATATTTGACTTTCCTTTCCAAGGCCTTGCTGCGTTTCCTGAATAAATATGAGCCTGTATTTCCTTTTCCTTGTTGCGGCTGGTTTGGTGATTTTTATTGTGTAAATTTCATATTCCTATTTCTATTTAGATATCTACAACATAAACAGAAGAACGATATGATCTCAGATTTTAAAAAAGGTTTTCAGTGATGACTGAAGGAGAATATGATATTGCGTCTGAAAAACCCCCGCTGAATATCAGATTCGGTGCCAAATTTCAGTCTCGGCACTTGCAACACAAATAAGTAATCTAAGTGCAGCGGAATAGTGATGTTTAGAGAGTAGCATACAATGTTAGCAACAAATTCCTCCGTGGCTAAAAAAGATAGAATTGAATTTTAAAATGTTTTACAAGAAATATTAACATTCACAAGTCACTAAAACAATCCTTGTCCTCGTATCCTATTTCTCAAAATTCACAACTATAAACCACATTTATCAAGAAACGTAAGCATGTTCACTAATCAATAATATTATTATGTCTAATTAAAATTAAACCTCGCACTTAGAGCCTCGGGAAGAGCAGTCAGTTTAGATTAAACTGGTCCATGTTTTACAGTAAAAAATAAAATTCTAACAGTCCGAGACGTGAGGCTGCCTGCCCCCAGTCCAAGCGCTTTGTGCGTCAGGAAATTTAATTGTCATCAGTCTCTTTCTGTCTGAAAGCCTGATTGAGACGTTAAAAAAAAATCTTGCACAGACAGCGAACATTGTGCGTCTTAAACAGTTTCTTCATCCATTTGTGTCTGTAACTGTGTATTCACAGGTGTACACGCTCAAATCGGAAGGCCAGAGAGCACTAGCACGAGTGTACACATTCACACACACACACACATAAACACACATACATACATACATACATACATACTTAAACATATCATGCATTGTTTTCTAGATCGATCGCCCCGATCGGCTGATCCCATCCGTAGTGGGCACCCCGTATTAGGAATCCAGGCAGCTGTGTAACCAAAAAGCGTGTAGTTGGAATCAACAGGAGTGTTTGTATACAGGATGAGAAAGCCGTGACGTTGATATATCATTTACTGTCTTTCTCTATGCCTGTCCGTCTCAATTGACATGTTTATCTTTTCTTCTACCCTTCCCCTTTTTTTCGTTAAAAAAACCTCCACAAAAAATAGATTATAAAAAACTATTGGTATGGCAGTTTGCTGCTGGATTAGGTTGTTAGAATTCGTCAGAATACAGGGAAAACAACGTTTACCTTTCCATATCTTCTGCTTTCGGGAAATGGGAAAGCATTGCATTGATAGTATTTAGCATGTTACAATAACTATTATATTTGTTTTTGAAGCAGGAAATACTCTTGTAAAATAAATATAGGATGAGCACGTTATTTTTTAACGTGAAAATTAGCTCCGATGTGTATTTTTTTGGTACAAAATCCCCTGTGATGCGACCAGACTTCAACAAGGATATTTTATTACGAAATTGAAACAATTTTTGTACTTTGATGAAATTATGAACATCTATCTGTAAGTTATAAATAAAGTTGTTTTTTTTAAACACAATTAATTTAATTTGCTGACGAATGGAACATCCTAATCCATTTGATAAAAGTTGGAATCTTGAATAGACAAGAAGCCACAATTTTGTTTAGGAAGGAGCATGGGTGAGCAAGAAGTATATATTAGCTGGATATTTTTATGTCAAAAATTGGAACACCCGACCCTACAGCATAATCTGTGCGTTATCTCCCTATAATCCCAGAGAGCGTTAAAAAATGATAGCAGCCTCTTAGAAAAAGCTTTCAAACCCTGGGCCGGTTATGGCAACTGATATATAATTCATCGGGCGTCAGTCAACAGGGGAAACCTTTCTCACAAGATACTGTTGTCTGCAAAATAATTATCTGGGTTTGAAAAGGCCATTATGATTTGTTGAGGACTTACCATCAACACATAACTTCTGTGGCAAACCACGAGGGAAAGAGTAAAAAAAATTATACACGTATACTGATGCCATATTTTCAAACTTTGAGTCTTTCGCTATGTGTTCTTTTTCTGCAGTTAGCTTTCATTTCAATCATATAACAAATATGATGTTGTGCAAAGAGTATTGTGTTTATTTGCATGCGTCACTAAATCTCTTGTTGGGGGAATTCCAGCATAAGAGCGTTACCTGGGCGCATAATGTAATGCCAGTTTCGTTTTCTAGCGTTTGTGAGAAGTGCACAAAAAGGTGTTCATCCGTCTGATTCTGAGTAACGCTGTCCCGCAAAGGCAGCTGGAGCAGTCATGTATCAGAAAATAGTCGGCTATCACTATCACTTCAGATGTTAAAGATGAACCTTATTCTTTTTCCATGCGCCTTAGAAGATGGAAAATTCTGTTACAAGCACACCGCACAGTGTTGTCGGGCGGCTTTTCTTTTCAAGTGCATGGTACTGGCCACACACGCCTAAACAAAGAAATAACTAAAATAGCAGTAAGCTCCTTTTTAGTTTATAAAGAACAACATGGCTATTTCAATACCGGGTGCTGGGAAAATACAAAATAATAACAATGTTGAAACAAAGTGTCAGGTTGTTTTATTACCAACTTGTGTTCAGGGAAGCGCTTTACTAATCACTAAGTTTACTTACTGATGGGCTGAACACATAGGGCCTACTGGAGAATGTGAATAAACTCTTGCCAAACAGTAACCAGAAATGTTTCGTCAAAGATGTGAAGAAACAAATTCACTGACAAAAATAAGAAGATGTCAAAAAGTACGACCCTAAATCGTTTATAATGAATGCCCTGATAATGCCCAACTGTATTATAAACATTATTATTATTGTTA